TCTGTCTTGATCTTGTTTTGGAATAGGTTCTACTATTATTATATAATTGCTTTGTTTTACTATACTTAATTTTCTTTTTGGTTGCTTTTTCTTTACTTTATCTATTAATTCTCTTGTTAATCTTAATAGAGCAACTTTTTCTGAATTCTGATTTGTCAACATAGTAACAATTTCATCTTTTCTGCTAGGCAATATATATGTTTTACTTGCTTGTTTAATAAACATACCATTTTGTACACTATTGATAACCTAGTATGTTCTATTGATATATATTGTTATTAGACTACTGTTACATCTTTTGATTATATCCATATTTCTATTTATATTAAGTATGTGTTTGTTTTGCTTGTCCTACATGTAGTTAAGTTGCTTATTTGTTTATGTCCTTGTAATTAAAATAGATCTGTGATACTAGGTTAATGCTAATTTCCTAAAATACAATAATTTTCCAAATTTTCGAACATTTTCTTTAAGAAATTTTTAGTTTTCTTTGATTTTTTTATGTTGTATCTCTCATGTTTGTCTATTTCTTCTCTTTTTTTAAACTTTTCTTGAATGTTTTTTCTTTTTATTTAGTTCTGTCAAAGTAGTTTAGAAGACCACTTTTGCATAAAATCAATTTTTCTTTTTGGTTGATTTTGTGTTTAGATGATTAGTGAAGAGAGTTGAATAAAATTTTTTAATAGAATTTTATTTTTTATATTATAATTTATTAGTATATATTCTTAATAATATATTTATATAATAAAATTTTATATATCTTTATAATATTATTTGTAATTTTTTATATTATTATTTATCAATTATTATCTTTTAAAATATGATTTATTTTAGTTTAATTATATATATATTTATAACTATATTATTTATTTTAATATCTTCTCATAATTTATATAATTATTAAGCTATCTGTTAGTATTATTTAATATTTATTGATAATTATATTAATCATCTTATATCATCTTTATTTTAGTTTAAATTTTAAATTTTAGTATAATATTATTATATTATTTTATGATTTTAAGTTAATATTTTGTTGATTTTATTAATTTTATAAATTTCTTTTATACAATATTTGAATATTTGTTTTTTGATATTTCATCTAACTAACTTTCTTATATCATTCTTTTATATTAAAAAATTTGAATTAATGATAACAACAATATAACAATAAAATAACAGAAAGTTTGTTGATATTAGTAACATAATAGTAATATATTAACAAAATAATAGAACTGTTTTATTATTTGTTATTATATTACCATTATATTACTCATATTGACAAACCTTCTATTATTTTACTGTCATTTTGTCATTATTTGGCAGATATAAGGTAGAATAATAGCAGATTTTTTTCTATTATTTATCTATTATTTACCTTTTATTTATTTGTTCGACCTGTGATAAGCCTTAAAAAAACTATTTTTATATACATAATTTAAAAAATATTTTACATTTAAAAAATATAAAACATATATTTATTTTATAAGTTTTAATATAAGATTGAATTATTTTATTGCAAATAAAAAACTTGCATTTAATAGACATGCATTTCAAAGAAATTAATTGTAATTTTAATTTAACAATTTAAAATATATTATTAAATATTATTATTATATTAAATTAGATATTTCAAATTAGAAATATATTTTTTAGATAAACTTTTATGATTTGGTAATTAGAATTAGATGATTTGACATCATACGATTTTTTCAATAAGACAAATCGAATGATACTACTAAAATCATCTAATTTTGATCGATATATCGCATGTTAACATGTATATAATTATGGATTATTTTTTGTACAATTCTTGAATGTGTGCCACAAATTTCCTAAATTACGAATCAGATTTAAAGATCAGGCATAACATAACACGATCAAGAAGATTCAAACCAAACGTCCGTTTTGTCAAAACTCGCAAAAATCAGCATAAGAAATCATCATCTTTAATGCTCTAATAAAGAGTTTTCATTGGACAATTTTATTTTGTGATAGCAAATTATATATAAAAATCATATCAATAATAATTTTTTATGACATTTTTATGACATTCAACTCAATAATTTTGTCAAATTGAATAATTGCTGCGCCACAAATCTGGCACATATTCAAGAATTGCGTTCTTACGTAAGCACAACAGTCCCGAATTAAAACTCAGTTAGCACGACTTGTAAATCATGTTAATAATTGCACAATATATTAAATCGACAAATGATTGGGTGATCATGATATTAATCAATATCTTATACAGTTAAACGAGTAAAAAAAATATCTGAATGATTAAAAACCATTATTCGATTAAAATTATTTTTAAATTTTAAACGATTAATCGTTTAATGATCGTTTAATTCCTCATATGAAGGAAAACAAACATGCACATGGTAAATAGCATGTACAGTACATAAACCATATAATAAGGATTATTAATCGGATTTTATTCACAGAACGAATGTGTATTCATCGCTAGCATAAAGTTTTATTAAAAAAAGCAGACCACACAAACTTATTACCGATTATTTTATGGTATCGAATCGAATCAAAGTTTAATTAGGAAACAAGAAGTTGATTTAAAAGCATAGGATAATTAATATGTAATTCGATGCATAATAGAATCAATAAACAGTTAAATGGTTAAAACATTTAAATAATTGATCAAACGATTAATAAAAGATTAAAAGATTATTAATCGTGTAACTTCTAGATAAGAGACGCGATTAACCGCTAGCATAATTTTTCACGGTTCTAAACTCTAGTGATTGATTATGCATATTGTATATCGATATATAATAATTGACAAAATCTAATAATCAATTTTTTTATGCACAATTTTATTTGTAAACATAATAGGAAAACTTGTCTATTCAAATACGTAGATAAAATGATATTATTAGGAATTTTACAAAAAGCTTTGAATAAAGGTAAGATGAACTTTTTAAAGATTATATAGAAAAGTAATCTAACTAAATCAGAAATTATCGACCAATTAGACCATGAAAATTGAGAACCTTTCTGTGTGATAGATGTTCCAAGAAATTTCAGATAGGTAAATTCATAAATAAAGCACGTACGTATGTATGTATCTGGTATGTATTGTACAGTATTGTATGTATTAATTGCAAAATTAGAGTTTCTCAATAACACAAACAGATGTCATTCAATATATTTTAGGAGGGATTTCACTTAATGCTGGTAGATCAGTACTGAAATAGTTGAAACCATGAAATATCATATTTGATATTCAATGCGATATGCCAGCTATACACTCAATTATCCTAAAATCGAATTAATTGATGCAGAAATTAAGGTTCATGGTAAGCTCCCTTAAAGAAAAGGAACATTTAGTAAAGAAATGGGTACCTCAATTCTAATATACAATTAAAAAAAAAAAGTAAATTGAAGAGCAATTTATTTATATTTAATTATTTTACTCGCATATCTTTATTCCGATCATATAAATTTTATATTGTGTGATTTTTTTTTTTCATGAGGTTTTTATGTGATTATAAACAAATACCGAATAATGAAAATGAAGAAAATGATGCATGCTCGGTTGTTTACGTGAATCACAAGTATTTTTGTTTAAATAATGTTTATATGAAGGTCAAATATGAACGAATCTATTTCCATAATTTCGTGTGAACAGCCGAAATCGATTTAATCATGCAGGAGAGGAAAATAAAAATATTTTGTACTAGGTGGTGTGGTGTTGCACTGTTTACGAAAACATTTCGTTATTCATGAAAAGAAAAAAATGGGGACAATAACCTTTATTTTCAAATGAACCAATTTTCAATTACAAAAATCCGATGACAAAAAATTGGATATTTGATTATCATAATATTTTGTCAACAAAAAGTTAATAAAGTTTAAATACATACGAAAGAAGTATCTATTATCACATTTCACTTAATTCAAATAAGAATTTTAGGACCCTAAATTTATGTGTTTATTCAAAAAAAACTTTGAAATTACTAAATTAATATTAGCTGTTTAACCAGATAAATTATAATCATGAAATGTATTTTAAATTCAAAAAAGATAACATAATGTTTTTTTCGGAGTTTCAAGCATTAGATACAGTAAGATGAATATCAATTCCGATTATGATATCATTGAGATTAATAAATAGTTTTAATAAATATATAGTTTTAATAAATAGTTTTAATAAATAATAATTTTAATAAATAGTTTTAATAAATAGTTTGAGAAAAAGTTTTTTTTATTTCAATGAATTTAATTGGTTTTTTAATATTCACAAACGAACGTTATTATAAAAAGTTTTTTTAACACGACTTCAATGGTAAAAGTTTCACAACAGTTTTATCCACACGACCACGAGAAAAAAAAAAAAAAATCCCTGCATATAGAAATTTTATTGGTTCTCTCTGACTCATAATATCATCATTTGGTGGTACAAGAGTGTAACCTTAAATACATTTATGATATCATGAAAACGTCAACAAAAAAATCTTGTAAAGCAATGACATAATCAAGATCAAGATAAGCGATTAGATATTCCAATTCGGTACAAAATTGAGGTGACGATCACGTAAAAGTCTTTTGTACTTATGTATTAATCCTTGAAAAAAAGGAGCTTGAAGATCGAGTATTTTTGTGTTAAAAATTTCAAATTGTGATATTAACTTGATATAACACATTGACAGCGGATAATCCCATTTAATATAACCTATTCTTGTTAATATGCAAAAAAATTAGATTTTTTTTTTTTTTAAAAAAAAGAAATGTATATATAAACAATGGAATTAATATTAAAAGAAATTGTAGAGTTCCATTGTCGAATATTCTAGAGAAGGAACAACAAACAATTATTGGTAAAATGGAAGTGATTTACAGTGTTTCGGACATTTAAGAAAATTCTAGTTATGTTGACAAAGTAAAAAAGGAAATAATGAAAGGAAATCATAAATAGTAATAGGGATATATGAAAAGAATCTGGAAAATAACCATTTTTAGAATTATAAGTACATTGTTCTCAAATGGCGATCATGACAATTTTTACGGTTTGCGAGAGTCCTACGGCCGGGTAATAAAGAGATAATAATAGTACAAGTAATAGTACAAGGCATAAGTTTGCATTCATGAGCATCGATAATACATCAAATATTAACGAATTGCCTCGTGGATGGTGGGCTGTGCACCTTCCAATACAGAATGATAGGGCGTGAGACGAAGTAGCCATTTATCTTTATTCAGTAAAGAAGCATTAAAATTTTTTTGTTTGCTTTCTAGAGAAGAGATGACCAAATTTTTTTATGAACCAAACCGAGAATACGCAAAAATAGTTAGACTACTGATGTTAAACACAAATAATCAAATTTAGTAATTAATACCAATATTTAAACATTACTTTTTTAGGTTAAAACGAAATGAAATGTCACAAACTTGATGTACAGGGGAATGTGAAAAATAGGATGGGATTACATTCGAATAAATCACACAAGACCCTAAAATGAAAACATGAAACAGGGATCATAGGGATCGCAGAATGCACCTCATAAATTATAGTCACAAAATTATATCCCATGACTTATTTCAGGATTTGAGGGGGACGAAAACTGTGGCAAGAAAAGTGGCTATATTTGTGGCTCGTATCGATTAATCGGATAACAAACAAACATTTGAAAAGTCTCCAAAAGTAGGCAACTTAATTAATTTAATTCCTGATTTAAGCCACTTTCTTATGCAACAAAATGCATAATATTTGTGGCGTGAGGAAATCAATGATCATAAACTTTTTAACTACGCACCCAATATTTGACCAATACTTTTTGGGAGGCAATATTCTCTTTTTTAATTTGTAACACAGGGTTAAAAAGGTCATTTAATCATAGCAGACAATGAGAATAGGATGTGCAGAGTTATTTCGTTAATGTTTAAATAAACTCAAAAATTGAGTGTCATGATGATTTAAAATTTTTTGTCAGACGATTTCTTGATGCGTATTTTAATAACGCAATCCCTGAGTGATATGACCAGTAATCCGAAAATGATTTTCATTTACTACTCTCCATATGGTTTCGGAACAAACCTTATTAACAAGTCTAACTTTATATTTTATAAAAAAATAATAAAAATAAATAAATAAGTAGTAATAAGTAAATAATTAGTAATAAATAAGTAAATAATAAGTAGTAATAAGTAAGTAAATAATAAGTAATAATAAGTGTAAAATGTAATAATGATAATAAAGAGCTAACTAAGCACAGACCCATCATTATTGTACCCTGATTAAAAATTTCCGAGTACTGCCTATGTGTATGTTCCTTTTCATCATCGTCACAGTATCTTTTTACATGTACATGACGGATCAAATACCACAAATACCAATATTATCATTTATAATCGGAACTGAGTAAGTACACGGTCAAACTTTAGACAATATTTGATTGTCTCTAACATCTTACGTTAAGTCCTTATGACAATACTAGCTATACAGTATGGGAAATCATCTATTTAAAATCGGCTAGTACCGACGTTACTCCGACGTTATCCCAATGTTATCCCGACGTTTCCCAAAAATTAATAATTAAATCCCTCGATCATTAGAGTTAGTAATTAAATCCCTCGATCATTAGTAATTTAATTCTTCGGTCCTTATATAAATTAAATATTGATCTCTGATACTAACAAATATCATTATTTTAAATTATTAATAATACATCAAAATGCTAATCCTACAACGATCAATGATTAACAAATCATTAAATGATTTATAAGCTGATCCCTTAAAATCATTAATTTATACCTCTTTTAATAATGTCACCTTTTCACAAGAGCAGCATCTGCAATATCAGTAATATCAATATTACACAAACACCATACAATACTTCTTTAAAGTTTGATTGTCGATATTTCTCTTCTATATAACTTAAGATTTTTTTTTCCATAGGTAAGTTTCTCAAAATGACGAATAAATTTTCGCATAGTTCATTCCCATTTTTGGTAGCACAAGATGAAATTTTCTATGACGACAATGGTCATAATTCGAATATTGTTTCAAACTGAAAAAAAAATGAGACCGAGACTGTCGCGGGAAGTTGCGTGTTGTAGCTTAATTAGAACAATTGGAGCATATGGAAAAACCCGAATTTATTGAATTTATTTACTGCGCAAATCCTAATTTACTATATATACATACTACTATAGCTTAACTAGCATTGGTACACATCTTTTTTTTTTTCTTAACTAACTTGACTAACTACAGGTACATACTGATACGTAAGTACATACATACCCACATACGTATTTTTTTTAACTTGGCTAATAATGGTTAGATCTCCTATTACTGTTTTCGGTTGTACGTACGTACATACGTAAGCGGTCCATAGCTTCAGTCCAGTATCTTACTTTTATGTACAGTATGTGTAACATCTTTCGATATTTCTTGAATGAATGCTATTTATTTCATTAATAATAATGATTAATAACATTTACTCTCACGAGATTTCATTCTGTTAATAATTTTTTTTCTTATAAAACTAAAATTGTCGACGATTTTCCTTAAACATATCGATATGCTATTACAATAACAAACAAATGACTTATAATGTCTTTTTCCCATAATTCCTTTTTTTTATATGGTTACATGAATAAATAGGTGTATTATCTAATAACTCGTGATTTTTTATCTTTACATTTAGTGGCTTATCTTAATACGAGATAAGACATCTCCAGACATCACTTGTTTACTGTGGTCACATGGTGTAAATAAAAAAAATTTATATGATATAACCGTATTAAAATTACTTTCTAAAATTGTTCGAATTTATAATATATCAAAACAAATACTTCTTAATAACACCAAAAAAAGAATGATCATTTAAAATCCCAAACAGAGATTTTATAGTATACATTACCCCAGGCGAACGTCAGTGTTACGTAGAAAATACGTAATAAAGTAAATACTCGATACACAGTTTCAAACAATCTCTTGCATTGTATTAAATGATACTAGGTTTCTCGTTTTCCCAATCCTAAAAGAAATTCAGTCTTATCAATTCCTATTAACGTGATAGTACATATATTTATATACCTTAGCTTTAATTGTAAATTCTTGAGCAATGTGATATAGCTTATTATGTGTTTGTGAGATGTTTATTTTTATCATCGGTGAAATATGGTGAATATGGTGAACATGGTCCTAGTTTGACAAACTTTTTTTTTTATTAATCATGTACATACATACTTACTCTACACACATACATACCCCCATTCCTTTTTCCCCACACTTTTTATTCCCAAACATTTTTTTAGAACTTGCAGATTCTAATGATTGTCCATTATCTCTTCCTTTCTTTTCTATTTTACAACTTATTTTTCTTACATGCATTCACATACTCCCGTCTCAGCGTGTCAATCATAACTGCAGACTTCGTTATGTTTGACATTTCTGTTATATGTCACTTTTTTGGTAACACGGCTTGAATTCTACATGACGTAAAATTACGAAATGATTGTATTTCATTGTGTATACTGTATATGTACATATGTAGTTATATATACAGTATTTTCTTTTTTTTAAAAAAAAATTTTTTTCCTTTTTTTATTCATTTACTGTTACATTTATAAAAATCAAGCCATTTGTGCTTATAATTTAAATTATTATGCGTACTTATAATGAAATAATTATTATGCGTACTTATAATGAAATAATTATTGTCCGTAGTAAAACCCAAACTATATTTTTTGGTCGGTCAAAAAAACATATAAACTTGACCGAATTGGCCACAAAAATTTTTGTTTGAGCAATAAATTTACCAACTCCGACTGCAACTGCAACTGCGATTATCAAAGTCACATGATGTTCTTCCTTAGTGCTACGTATAGTGTTAATTGTGATTATTTTATATGCATGTATTCTGATTCTAAACTGGGTATTTGATTGAAATTGAAAAAAAAAACTTGTTTTATACTTGTTACGTAGTTTAAACTTTATATCTTATATATATAAACCTTATATAAACGGGTTTTAAATTTAGATGTCAAATTATAATTAAACTTTATTTTATTTATATTAGCTTTTTATACTATATATAATATTTTATATAGTATTTTTTATTTTATATACTGTATATATATATTGTGTATTACTTCAATTAATAAAAATTAGATAAAAAAGTTAATTAATCAAAATTAATTTAAATATTCAAAATTAATATTTTAAATTTTTTAGTAAATAATTTAAAAATTTTATTTGTATTATAGTTTATTATTTTTTTTAATTAAATTAGCCTTTTTAAAATTAGAATTTTTTATTTAGTATTATAAAAAACAAAAGCTTATAACCAAAGTTTCAAAAAAGTACTTTTACATTAGAAAATACAACTAATTACATATACATTTTTGATATCTAATTTAAATAATTTTACTTATATAATTGTTATATTAATTATTATATATATTTGCAATTTAACTATAAATATTGCTTATTTAAACTTTTTATATTGTTACAAGGTTGCAGCCTTCTTAGTACAATACAACCAAATAACAAGATTATCTGATATAATGATTAACTATTGCAAATATATACAGAGTAGAAGTGTAATAGTTCATTTTATTACATAATAGCAGGCAAACAATTTAAAATAATAACAGTATATAAATTAATTTTATTAAACAAATATATAATAACAATCTTGTCTATAGAAATTACTCTAAAAAAAAAAATATTATTTTTACAAGTTAGGAATAAAAGTAAGAAAATCTAAATTAAAGTATAAGAACTTAAAATTGACAAAAAAAAAGAGAAAAATACTCTTTATATATTTTTTATCTAACAAAAATAGTAAAAATTTAAATATTATTTAATACTATATTTGAAATAAGGTAATTTTAGGCATCTCCCATAGGATATATATAATTTACATATCTTCCATATATCTACCAATAAAAACACATATATATCACATGATAGAATCATCTAATATAATGTTTAAAATGTGTATCTGTGCGACTTCAGCTGCATAGATCGGGCTATATTACATTATACAATTATAACAAAATATCTAATTAAAATCCAAGTTTCAGTCATATATAAATTATCAGTATTTAAATTATTCTTTGATGAAAATTTAATTTTTTAATAGTTCTAAATTTCTAATTACATATATTTTCTTTTAAAAGTTTGTTAAATCCAACTCAATACTAACATTCATTCTAATTTAAA